CTGCCAGGGGCCTCAAAACATTGCTTTAAGAGAAGAGCACGTACTCTGGGATGAACAAGCTCGCGCCAACCTTTCTACGGCTAGCAAGCTCAAAGTGATGCCTCCAATACGTTCAACAATCGTTTCGAAAGTTCGCGCTCAAAATGAGGGTGCGTTGGACAATTCTGCGTTAGTCCCGAGATGTGATCCACGAGCAAGGGTTCTTGCAAACGTGCTGCGAAGTACTGCAAACTGCGCAGGTCACCCACAAGTGACACATGAGCAGTGGAACGACACTGAATCCAAATATGAATCAAAATGTTTACAATATCCGAATCGAACATGCCACACTACACTGCCAAAACATCCGCGTAACAATCATCATCCTCTTGATCCTCCTGATCGTCCTCCTCCTTCTCGTAGAAATTTCCCGAAAAGAATACGTAGCACCCCGCATTTGCGGATAAGAGTGAGGGGGCGACAGGGTAGTCGGCAGGTTGCGAGGCTCTGAAGAAGCCCGCGGCACACGCCAATGTACCAAACAACGAGCCCGCCGCAGGCGCTGGTGTTTTCGTCAAAGCAGCTTGGGTGGGTCGCGGGTGGGTCGCGGGTGGGTCGCAGGGCGGGTCGCGAGGTGGGTCGCGGGGTGGTACCGTGGTGGGATCGCGGGTGGGTCGCGGGCGGGTCGCGGGCGAGAACAACGACAACAACAGCGCAACCCAACAAGCAGAATCCGAGCAGCGGAATCACACCTCAGCCGCGAGCCCGGGAACAATGAATGACCCTTGGGCCTCCTCACTCCGATATCCTTTCGGGCCGTTCCCTCGGAAGTAGTGCAGCATGGCGGCGCGCAAAGGGGGGTAGGGGGAGGGGGCAAGGCTTCTTAGAAGCACCCTGCATCTTAGAAAGCCCTGGCCTTGCGTCTACAGAAAGGGCCAGCGCCTTCTCCCAAGAAGCAGGGGTGCCTCCAAGGAGCCTCCCCCGCTCCCCCTGCCCCCCTCTGCGCGTGGCCGTGCAGCGGTCTTCCGCTCAAGGCGAGCCACGGGCAGGCGCCGCCGTCGCATATGCCAAAGCGTGAGCGTGCCGTCGTGCCCACGCTCGGCGCCTCCAGAGCTCTGGAGGCTCCACCCAGGAGTGCCTGGCCTGCGGCTCGAAGGCCCAGCAGCACAGGCCCAACAAGCAGCGCCATCGGCCCAGGCCAGGAGCAGGGCCGGGCAGGCGGATGTCGGCACGTCGTCGACGAACTCCGACCCCTACACCCGCTGCCCATCGGGGTGCCTGACTCGTTGATCGGCGGGGGTAGGGTTCGGATTTCGCCACCGAGTGGAGCGGCGATGAATGTTCTGGGACGGAGAAAGACATACTGGTACACGTCCGAGTCAAGCATGCAACATAAGCTTCTTGCTCTGTATCGTTATCCACTCGGTATGGCCAGAAAGCGTCCGCCACGGAGCCTATTCCCAGAACAGCGCTTGCATTTGGGAGATCCCACTTCTTCTCTAAGGAACTGGGCCTGCGGGTCGGTCTGGCGGCTATGTTCTCGCCGGCGCCGCCCTGTCGCCGCCTCGTCGCCGCTGGGACTGCAGGTCGGTCTGGCGGCTATGTTGTCGCCGTCGCCGCCACGTTGCCGCGTGCCACATAGGTTGCACTATTGCATCACATCGCTTACTCTCTCTCTCTCTCTCTATATATATATATGTATGCATGTATGTATGTATGCAAGAATTGAAGGCTCGCTTCGCTTCGCTTCAACCTTGGTCCACATGAGCGAGAGGGGGGGCGAGTCAGCGAGTGAGGCGCGAGTGGCGCCCGCGAGTGAGAGAGAGAGAGAGAGAAAAAGGGAGAGCGAGAGAGAGAAAGGGAGAGAGAGAGAGAGAAAGAGAGTGGAAATGAGAACGATTTTCTCGGTTTGTCCCTGTCCCGTCCAAACTCCCACAAAACAGGTGCGCCGCCTACCAGCCGCGACACGGACAGACGAGCGCGATGGATGAATCCCGTTTCTTTCTTTTCTGTTTCCTCCTTCAACTCCCCGTATTTTCCTCATCGTTTTCGTCGTCCCTCACCTTGGGTCCTCGCTTTCTCTGTGTCCTCTTCCTCTTTTCCTCCCCCTGATGTTCCCCGTCTTCCTCCTCCTCCACCTCCTCGTTTTGTTCTGGCTCTGAAGCCACTGGGGCACGGCCGCGACACGCACAGACGGGGGGCGGCGGGTCCTGAAAAAATGAGAGAGAGAGAGAGAGAGGCGAGGTGGGGGGGGAGGTGGATGGAGAGAGAGAGAGAGAGAGAGAGAAAACAAAGAGAGAGATAGAGAGAGAGCGGGAGAGAGGGAGAGAGAGAGAGAGAGAGACAGACAGACAGACTGACAAACAGACTGACAGACAGACAGACAGACAGACAGACAGACAGACAGGCAGAGAAGGAGGGGGGAAAGAGAGAGAGAGAGAGATGGAGAAAGAGCGAGACACAGAGGAGGGGACCAGAGAGACGCGGGCAATGGGGGGCCTCGGTCACCACCGCAAGCCTCACGTCATGAGTCGCGCGCAACGCTTGGGGGCCTCTTAGAAATCCCTGCGGCCCCTGTGCGGCCCCCTTGAAAGCCTTTTGGGATGTCATCAGGTCTCCTGGGAGCCTCTGGGGATGTTTTGAGACTCTCTTGGGAGCCTCGTGGATGTTGCGGGCGGGCGTGGCCCCCAAAGAAGAACCTACCAAAATCTTCGAAAAACTAACAGAAACCCTCGGTTGTGTGCCTCCTCCAGACCTGCTGGGAGTCCTCTTGGGGGTCTCTTGGAGCGTCTTGGAGGCGTCAGGGGCCATGTATGCACTGGGCCTGGTGCTGAAAAGATCGGCTGGGCTTTCCGCGAACCCATGGAATTTAATGGTTTGGGAGCCTCTGGGTGGCCGCTTGGGCGGTCACGGCGGGCCTCTCGGGGGCCTCGTGGGGCCTCTTTGGGCCCTCTTCAGAGCCTCCGGGAGGTCTCTTAGGGCCGCTTGGGGGCCCCTGGGGGCGGAGGGGCCGAAAGGTCGGATCGGATCCCCCGTCTGGATCTCTTCTTGGAGCCTTCTGGGGGGCCTCTTGATCTATCTTGGAGGCCTCTTGGGCCGCCTCGGGGCCCTCTCAGGCCGTCTTGGGGCCGTCTTGGGGGCCTCTTGGGCCGTCTTGGGGCGATCTTGAAGGTCCCTTTGGCCGTCTTGGAGCGTCGGGGAGGCGAAAAAGCGAGAACCCGAAAACCCTCTTGGAGGCCTCTTGGGGCGTCCTGGAAGCCTCTTGGGCCGTCTTGGGACGAACTGGGGCATCTTGGAGCGATCTTTGGGCGTCTCGGCGCCCGTTTTGGAGCCCTTTTGGACTATCGTGGGACCTCCTTGGGCGGCAAAAGATGCCAACATGGCCTCTGCATGGGGGGGTGCCCTGCGAAGAAGCCGCGAACATCGCCCCCAGAGGTGGTTTCCGGGCGGAGAAAAATAAATCTCCCCCGGACCCCCCCATCCTAGGAGGGGCTCCTTTATATTTTGTTTTGGATGAGGAATATATATATATAAATAGAAAGAGAGAGAGAGAGAGAGAGAGAGAGAGAGAGATATTGATAAGTATACTGCGACACACATAGGTTGCATTCCAGAATTTGCGCACAACAATTTCATAATCTAGATTGCACATCATAAATTGCACCGCACATATTGCGCAACAAAGTTTGCACAGCATGGATGGCACATAATTGACTACACAGCATAGGGTGCACGGCATGGATTCCACCGCCTACATTGCACCACATATAATTTACAACATGGATTGCACAGCATAGATTGCACAGCATAGATTGCACCACACGTATGGCCCGACAGTGATTGCACAGCACAGATCGCACCACCTAAGATTGCGCGACATAGACTGCATCACATGCATTGCTGCTAACCACACTGTTTGGGGTCCGCGCTGGCTAGCCTGCTCCATGACGTCCGAGCGTGCGCGTCGCCCTGGCGCGGCCGGTGCACACCTCGTGCAAGCATGCCTGGGTGGTGCCAACGATGCGCGTTCCGCATCAGACGAAGCCAGGACTGGGACAAGATCGGACCGGGGCAAATCTCGGATCTCTGAGATCTGGCGGTCTGGAGGATGTATCGGGCGCCGCGGCCTTCTCAAAGCGCTCCAGAACGCTCCGAGAGCGTTCGGCAGCGCTCTGGAACGATTGATCCCGATCCCGACCCCGCCCGATCTCAGCATCTGGGGAGGTGCGAGCAGAACCCAAAGTCGGCGCAGGCAGCGAACTCCGTCCCAGCAGACCTCTCGAAGGAGAGCCTCCAGGGCATGCTCCAGAGGCAGGCTACAGAGGCAGGGCAGGTCGATTCAGCCCAAGAGCACGTCGCGGAGGCTGCAAAGGCCCTGGCCAGAGCTAGACAAGACCACGAGGCGGTGGTCAAGCTCCAGGAGCACAGGGCAGCCCCAGTGAACATCGACAAGAGTGTCAAGGCCGTCCAGGCCAAGATGGCGCTCCCAGAGCTTGGGGGCCAGGACGCGACGGGTCGACACGAAACTGGATCTCCAACTCCCGAAGTGATTCAGCAGGTCCTCGAACCGTCGAGCGAGCGGTTCGACTCCGACACCTCGGCCGTCAAGGCATTCGGCCGGCGACAATGGGGCGCAGAAGGACATGCTGGTACTCCCGTGCCCCCCCAGGAGGCGCAGGTCCGACACTCACGTCGCAGCACGGCAGAGGCGGTCCGCACGGGCTCTCGAGGCCTCGGGGACACGCGAAGAGCCAGATGTCCGACTGCAAGAAGGAGCGCGCGGGAGAAGGAGCGGCCGCAGAGGACGGGAGGGAGGAGGAGGTTGCTCGCGGCTGAAGGCGTCTCAGGACGAGCGCGCCGGAGCGGCCAGCTGGGGCTGCAACGAGCTGGCAGCGGACGCGGGACGCCATCCTCGCCACGCCCACGGACCAAGCCCGACCCGGGCACATCAGCACAAACAGTTTGCAGCATGATGTTATCCGAGCGGCATGGCCAGTTCGCGCGTATCACAGGATAGTCTT